TTGTCTTCTGGAGAAGATCTTGCTAAAACTTTTAATTCTTATGCAATAGTAGTGAAATTGCTTAAATTTTTTACTTTTGGTATCTCATTTCCTTCATCATCTTTTTCATATTCTAATCCTTCAACCATTTATCTAAATGTCTTTCCTTCCATAACTGCAAGTGAATCTTCATGATGTTCATAATTTGGTGGTAATATACCAGCTTTCTTTGAAATGGCTACTGCAGTATCAAAATTATCTCCTGTTACCATTCTGACAGTTACACCTGCTTCTTTACATTATTAGACTGCTTTAATGATTCCTTCTTTTAATGGGTCTTATAATCCAGTAACTCCAATAATTGTATATGATTTATCAATTATATCTTCAACATTATTAAATTCTTCTGGTTTTGATGGTCTACCTTAGATCATTGTGTCTCTATATAACAATAAGATTGATCTTAATGATTAAGATGCATAATTCTTAATAACACTATTAATTTTTTGTTTATAATCATTGGTAATACTAAAATTTAAGAAATTATAAATACACAACAGCTCTTCCTTCAGCATTAATATAATGAGAACATTTATCTAAAAGCATATCTGGAGCACCTTTAGTATAAATTTTGAATTATGTTCTATCTCCTTTTGGATCTAATATGATTGTCATTTTTTTTTTCTCTGAACTGAAAGGGAACTTCTTTTTGATTTTTTCTCCCATATTTTATCTAATTTATCTGAAATCATATCCAAATTTATAACACATTTCCAATAAAGCACATTCAGTTTTATTACCAATATGCTCAAATTTACCTGATTCATCAATTTATGGATGTGCCATAGAATTCAAACAAATACCTTCACATAATAATTCTAAAGTTGAATTTTTAATAGCTTTTGGATCTAATTTACTAAAATCTGTATCTTCAACATATAAATTAGTAACAGTCATTTTATTTTCAGTCAATGTACCAGTTTTATCACTACAAATATTATTTGCACCTCCCATTGTTTCACAAGCAGATAAAAATCTAACGAGATTTTTTTCATCTTTCATTTTACCAACAGAATATGCCAAAGCTATTGTAACAGCCAAAGGTAATCCTTCAGGAACAGCAACTACAATAATTGTAACTGAAACAATAAAGAAATTTAGAATTTCTTTTAAAGCATGAGCTGAAAACAAAGGATATTCATTGAATACTGCATCATAAAGTAAATGAAGTGTCATAGCAATAAATGTAATTATTGCTGCTTTTAATCCATATTCACCAATTTAATCTGCTAAGATTCCTAATTTCTCTTATAAAGGTGTTTTATCATCTTTAGCTTATTAAGTCATTAATTTTTTAGATATTCCCCATTATGAATTTTCTCCAACTGCCAAGATAAGAATTTCACCTGTTCCTTCAATAATTGATGAACCACTAATTAAAAATGGATTAACTTTTTCTTTTTAATCATAAGTGACTGGAACATTCTTTTTAATTGGATTTGTTTCTCCTGTAATTGATGATTCATCTGCTGTTAAATCACTTGATTCAATAACAATTCCATCAACAGGTAATTTCTCACCTGTATCAACAATCATAATATCTCCAACAACCAATTCATATATATTAGTACTCACTATTTTACCACTTCTCTTAACATTTACATTTCTATTCTCTGCTATTGCATTCAATTTTCTAAATTATTAATCTTTCACATAATTATTTCCTGCTGTAACTGATACTATTATAATAACTGCTATGAATATTGCCATTCCATCCATCCATCCCTAATTAAATCTTATTTATTAATACTTCTTTCCAACCTTCTGTCCATACACCTATAATCAAATTCACTGCTGCTGCTAAACACAATATTCTAAGCATTGGATCTTCAAAATTTTCAAGTATCTAATCCATTAATTCATAATTATACATATTCCAAAAGTGTCTTCGGCTCTTTTATTTCAGGCTTATTGTCACCAAAACTATAATGAAATATATATAAATATTTTACTTCTTCACTCTCAATTCCATATCATTGATATTACTGCTATCTAATCCTTTCTATATATATATATTTTCTGTTATACCTTTGGATCTGTTCTTAACTTTTTCATCAACCCATCTATCTTTCCATGTCTAGCCAACTATGCCAAACTTGATCCATCTCTTACATTGTCAGGAGTAAACAAATTGCTTAAATATTTGACATATCTTTTACGATAATTCTTTAGCTGTCATTCCAAAGTCAGATAAAGTACTTCCAACCAGAAGATTTTCATCTAATTAAGATGTCATTATTTTTAATTAAAATTTTATTATCAAATATCATTGATTATCTTATTTAATACTCTCTTTTTATTAAACTTTATTATAAAATATGTCATCATCAAATTTCGATTTAATATTTTATACTAAATGACAACATATATCATTCTTTATTCACATGAATTTTCTAATTATAATATTATCAAAAAGTAAGAATTAATGTTAACGTATCTTTAAAAACTTCATAATTAAATAAGTTTGATTTTAGTATTAAATTAATAGTTATCTAAATTTATATTTCATAATTATTATTTTTCATAATCATTATTTATCAATATATAACAATTTTCATAAGAATAGTTTTTTATTTTGAATATGCTATTTAAATTATATATATTTAATATATATATTTATATTAATATAGATAATGTATCTGATATATATATAATTAAATTTAATGATAATATAATATGATACTGATATATATGATATTTAAGTTTGAAATAAAAGTAAGTTTGCAATAAACAAATTAAAGTAAATTAAAAAATTCATAAAAATTCTACTCTACCATTTCTTGTTATTTTGAATTGTTGTTAATTTTAATTATAATGAGCAGATCTATTTCTTGAACGAAAAAAATGTGATGCCCTCTTTGATTAGCAAGACCATAATTTTCCAGTGTCTTTTAGACTCTCTTATTCTGTTCTAAAATAATGAGCTGTCTATGCTCTTAAATCAGATGGTTGATTAATTGTTAAAGGTTTTAAAGTTATGAATAATGCTTCTTCATTTGTTGGGTTTCTTCTTTTAGGAGTTGAGATCCTTTTTATACTCAATGATTTCTTGAATGAATGATTTGATATCTTCCTATTTAAAGGGGACTCCAATTGTATCTTTCGTGGGAATTATTTTTACTCTTATAACTTAATTTGTGATTACTAATAGTGATGCCATAATAAGTGGATAATTTGATAGTTATTTTGCTTTAATTGACACAGGAAATTGCTTGCCTTAAAAACCATATTGCACCAATTAATTATTATATTCTGATTTATCTGACATTAATTCCTCTATTTATTATTCTTATTATTATTATTATTATAAAAGAAAAAAACTATAATTATGATATTTATGATTTTGTAAAATTTTACATTCAAATTAATAAATTTAAGATTTATAATGAGAATCAGGAACTGTCATTCATTTGAATAAATCAAGAATTATTAATCTATTAAATTAAGCACTTTTATTTAAGATATTCATTAAGCAGGTAGAAATATCAACACATCTACATCTGAATTCATCTAACAAAAATCTTATTCTAGACCATGTTTAAAAAAGATGGAATAATAAAAATTTGTTAATCATATGTATTAGTCTTATTAATACGAAAAAAAGGCAGTTTAATAAGGACTTCTAACACTTTAACACTTAAATAAATATTTATAACCAAGAAAAAGTAACTTATATTTATTAATATGTTTTAAGGACATTTTGATTTGAAAAAGGATATAAATTTTCTTAAAAAAACTAAGTTCCAAACTTGCATTCAAAAATTAAGAGCTGCTAATATTATATTAAATGCATCAAAAGGTTAACAATAAAAATATGAGATAATTTAAGAAACTATTGAATGTAAAAAAAATTAAAAGGATGATATTGAATTCATATAAAAAATGAATGAATGTTAAGTTTAGTAAAGAATGAAAAAATTGCTTAAATTTAAGACTACTCCACTTTTTATAGATGTTAATTAAACAAATGAAAATTGATTAATTAAATATTTGAATCATTTATATTAAAAACCAAAATAAGATGAAAATTCTTATGAAATATCCTTTTTTATTTTCTTATTATAACAACACAATTTTAATTTATTTCACATCAATTCAGATAAGATACCATAATCTCTCTCTAAATAAAATACAGCTTCGAAATGACTTGTTTAAGGAAACATATCAACTAATGTCACATTTACCAATTTAAATCCAGGTGCTCTATTCTTTTTAGATTATGGTAAACATAATTAAATTAAATTATCAATTACTTAAGGAGGAGAACAAGAAACATAAATAATATGATCTATACCTTTACATGTTCTAATAGCTTCTATAACATTATTAAGGACACCTGCTCTAGGTGGATCTAAACAAGCCATTAATTGTTATTTTCCTTCAAAACTCTTTAAATCTTGAGCAACTTTCTTTATAACATCTTCCACCTTAGAACATATAATTTAACAATTTTGAAGATTATTTATTTTATAATTTTCATTTGCATCCTTACATGAAGATTAATTCATTTCAATTGCTAAAATATCTTATATTTAATCACTAACACAAATTCCTATAGTGCCACTACCAGCACATAAATCTAAAAATTTTGTAATTTTTTTGTTTTTACAAAGATCAATAATTACTTAATATAATTTATCACATTAAGGAGTATGATTTTAAGAAAAAGCATTATATGATATATTTATTTTCTTGTCTAATATGATTTCTTAATAATATGAATTTCCATATAATATTTTTGTATCATCAGCAGAACTAGCTAAATCTTAACCCAATTTATTTGAATGCATTAATAATAACCCTTCTAAACTGAACTCTCCATAAGTAGTCTTAAATAATGTAATTAATTCATCACATATCAAAACATATTCATCTTCATTTAAATTGTCCTTATTGATACTTACACTTATTAATAATTATTTAGTCCTATCACTTTTTCTAACACTTAACATCCTCCATACTCCACTTCCATTTTATCTATTAAAAGGTTAAAACTTAGATGATTATAAATAAGTCTAGAATTTATTTGCAATTTCCATAGCTATAGCAGGTGTAACTGGACATGTATTAGGCTTTTGTATTAATAATTTATTACTTATTCTACACTATCATTATTTTTTTGAATTGAACCAACATTAAAACCAACACATACTTCTTTTTAACTATTGTAGCTAATAGTAAATTCACTTTTGTTTCTATAATTAAATCTAAATTATTCATCACATATTATAGGATCATTAATTTTAATTAAATTTGTACTAATATTTAATAAATTATTACTCTAAAATCCAATCAGGTGCATATTCTTTACCATTTTTTTAAATAAATTAATTTCTTAATTTTTTAATTACCTTTTTGAGTTCAACCATCTTTTATTCAATTTATTCTTCATATTTAATTTAATAAAGTGGAGCTGTTTATAATGCTAATTCATTCTCTTTTCTTTCAATAACATCTCTATTTTAATGCTTTTCTTAAAATTATTTGACTTCTTCTTCATTTTATTTTTATTATTTAATTTTCTTCTCTAATTATTTTTCAAAAGCATTTTCATTATGAACTTCTCCTATTCTAAGTTTCAATTCTGGATTATCTTCAATCAATTTAACAAATTTCTTTATTATAAATTTAACAATTACATTTTTTTCATCCTCATCAATAAATTACAAAAAACAAAATGGCTTCATTTTAGGTTTAATAATTTCAGTAGGATTGATAAATTTATCTCCTAATTATTCTTACAATTATTTCAAAACCTATTTATCTTTTGCAAATTTCTGAATGCCTAATAAACAAATTTATGGTTTCATAATATAATTTATATAAAACAAATATATATATATTTGATTCAAATAAATTTAAATGAATAATATATTTATATTATAATGATTATTATTATGAATTTCATATAAATAATATATATAATATTCCATTTATATTGTTGATATAAGAGTAATATTGATCACATTAATCAATAGCATTTGTTAATTTAATTGAAATTTTGATACTTTTTTTTAAATATCTTCTTTGCTCTGTTAATATAATGTAGGTAATTTTTGAGGATGAAATTTTTATCATTCTTAAAAATATGTTAATAACTAAAAATTAGCACAAACTTTCAATATTAAATAAGATGGCATCAAGTTAAAATAGATTTCCTGAATGTTCTCTTTAATATATTATTCATTCATTTTAAATATTAATGAATTTCAATAATAAATTATATTCCATAAATGAAAATATTTTTAATCTATGTTGTATTATTTATTCATCATTTTTATGATATATCTTGTTGAAGGTGTATTTGTTCCATCTGATGAATCTAATCTAGCATATTTTGATCTGTTAAAGAAATCATACAATGATGGTAATACTAAAAATTTATTTTAAGGCAATGCAGCATAAATTTATAATTTATTTTCTGGAGACACTTAAAAGCATATTACATTAGAGATCTTTAATTCATAAATAGAAGCCATTAGAAATAGACAAGGAAATATTTCTTACTGGGCTTATTCAACTGTTGATAAAGAAAAACCAAGCATTTTATTAGGTTTTGAAAAACATTTGGGAACTGGTACTTTATTTTGGTCATATGATCAAAAAGGTAAAATTGCCTCTTTCAGTATGAATGATCATCTATAACCATCAATGATTTAGTGGATTAAACATTATCCAAATAAATTTTCATTTTCTGCTATTGCAGATGACATTGTAATAGCAAACTATTTTGGAACAAGAGAATAAACTTTGATGAGTGTTTTCAAAATAATTGTTGCCATAGAATATTGTAAACAATTAAATGATGGTAAAATAAACGAAGAAGATTGGATTAATTTAAATGAAGTTAATAAATTTTATATAAAAGAATTAGATATATCCCATAAAAATTTTTTGTAAATTTGGGAATAGTAAGGAAAGATAAAAGATGGTTAAATACAATTAAAAGAAATTGCAATAGGGATGATAGCATTAAGTTCTAATGCTTGTACTGAATACTTAGAAACTCTATTTACTTTAGAATCTATTTAAAATACTGTAGATTAAATAGGATTGAAATAAAGTTAAATCTTCTATTTAAGTTCATTTTTATTAGTGTTCACTTAAGATAACAAAGATACAAGAGAAGATTTCATTAAATATATTTAGAATCTTTCAGTAGAATAGGTATAAAAAAAGAGTTTAGAGATACATAATTAATTAATTTTAAATAATGAGAGTGCAAAAGATTATTTAAGTAGAGGTAAGTAATTATTAGATGGAGAAGTTTTAAAAATTCAATCAAAATATTTCACAAAATCAACAACTTTAGAATATTCAAAATTACTTGATAAATTAAATAATGGTATTTGGTTTAATGAAAAATTTTATTAATATTTTTATGCTTTAATGGGATATGTTTCTATGTAAAATCCTGCTTTGGCTAAGGAATATGATCATGTTGGAGTATGTATTTATTATAAAATTTTAGGTTAAAGGTGGATCCTCAGCTATATAAGGAGATGATTTCTGTGTATTGACAATAGGATTCTTTTAATAAATGAAGAAAGCTATCCCATTCAAAAAAACTTCAATTGCTTTTTTCATTGAATCCTTAGATTATGATACCGAATATAAATTAATCTTTGAATAATATAATGAATTTATAGCTCTATTAAGTTTGAATGGATATTATTTGAATGCAGTTTCAAAAGAGTTATCTTAAGATCAAATAAAGTAGTGATTTTTAATATAACAATTATTAAAAGATTTAATTATGTGTTGTGTCATTAGTATTTTATGATATTATACAAAGAATAGTGTATTGATATGAATGATTAAGTAAATACTGGATAATTTATGTATTTAAGTTGTTTGAGATATTATGAAATAACCGATTATCATAAATATAATATTAATAAATTGATAATATGGGTTGTATTGGAAGTACTTCTAGAAACTTGTAATAGCCAACATTTTCAGCTATTCTTACAGAGATTTTTGAACTTGTGCCAAGAGAGGAAACATTAAAAGAATTCAACAAGAAATCTGAAATAATGAAATATTTCAATGAGTTCGATTGGGCAAAGATTTAACCTTAATTTAAGTTAGAAGTAAAAACGTTGATAGATCACATAGAATCTTATAAAATTAGACTGATTGATTCTGCATTATATGTAGAAAGTAAAATAGTAATAATAACAAACAATTAATTAGAAATTATCTCAAAATCCTATTATAATAAAAATGTGTATGCACATATTATAAGAGCTCATACTTAATTTAGATAAGTTTATATAATTGAAAGAAATTCCAGTTTAGAATTAAGTTTATGAAGAATCTAAAATTGAAATTAGTCAGAGATCTATTCAAATAGAACATTTATAAACCTTAACATAAGTTTCAGATAATTTTTTAAAGTTTGAATTAGCATTTTCTAATATTATCTCGTAGTTGATTAATGATAAGATGACATATGCAATGTAAGAAAAATATAATTTCTTAAGGGTTTGGTGGGGTTAGTTTTTGGAAATTTTGGAATCATTTTCAAATAAGAAAGCAAATAAATAATTCTAAAGTGAAAATATATAATGCATTTTGACATTTTTAGAATATATAATAGGTACTAAATTAGGTTATTCTGATTAATTGTAAATAATTTATAAATATTATATTAGTGATTGGGTAACTAAAACAAATGAAGAAATGTCAGCAGTTTAAGAATTACTTGATTTAATTTCAGATCCATTTATTGTAATGTCTGTTTATAAAAATGCTTTTTTAAGAATTCCATAAGAAAGATTATTTGTAACAAAAAGTTAAAAAGCTTTATTTAATATATTAATGAAAGATCATAAAAAGTTTGTTTCTTAACCTATATGGCATAAATTAACAGAAACATTTTTAGAAAGAGCTTTAAATTAATAGTTATATGAAGAATTATTTTTAATGTTATTTAATAATTTTGATGAAGATTATTGGAAAAATCCTTAAGATATATTTGATATTACTTATATAGTTTTAGAAGTAGCCAAATAGATTAATTAATTATCTAATACTGAGCTTTTTATATTTACTAAATTAGTTGATTATTTAGATACTCCTAATGATAAGAATTCATTTGAAAGTCCTAGTGCCCCACCTTTATTGAAGAAAACATCAGAATATAAAAATATTCATGTTACTTCAAATGTGAAAAACTCAGTTATTAAATTATTAATTAATCTATTTAATTCAATAGAAACTAATTAATTTATTTTATTTTAACAAACTTAAACTATAAAGGCAATTCTTAATAATTTAAGAGCTAATCCAGAGATAGAAACATTTAATGATACTAAACTTTGTTTAATTGCATTACTAAAATAAATATCATCAGATACAAATAGTGTACAATTATTTATATAATAAATACTTGCATTTGCTTATAATTATAATTTAAATTTAATTAATAATACAGCTATTAATATTAATATTCTAATTAATTTATTGATCATTTTACTTGAATGTATATAAAAAATAGAAACATATAATTCAACAATTATTATAACAGAAGAAATGATAGTTATGTTAATTGAAATAGCTGAATTTGATCATTAGATTTCATTAAAATGTGCATATATTTTAACATCTTTGTTTTTATAAACAGGAAAAATAAATTCTAATGAAAATAATGAAATTAATTCATATCTTGTACCTAATTCTAATATTATTGGATTAAGTGCATATTTTTTATCAAATACAGTATTAATTAGTTATAATGAACCAGAATATGTAAGAACATTAATAAATTAATTTTTTGATTTCATACCTGGAAGATTAAATAATCAACAAATTGTATCTATTATAGCTTATATAATTGATGATTCTTCAATAAAATAAGGAAATAGTAAATTATCAAAATCTAATAGAAAAATTAATTTTGATACTTTTAAAGATAAAGAATTAAGATTGTGTATGATTATAAAATTAATTTCATATATGGATGATGAAATTTCTAAAGATTTTAATGAACTTTTATATTCATTTCTTGGTGCATAATTTCAAATTTACAAGAAAAAAGGATTTGGTGCATAGTAAATATAAATATCATTAAAAGTTAGGATTTATAAATATTATTATCAAAAAATAATATAAATACAGAAATATAAGAAATATTATCAAAATGTAATTAAATAAGTTAAATTGATTTTGAGAAAATAAAGAAATAATTTAAAGATAATTTATCTAATTAGAATAATTAAAATGGAATAATAAATTTAGATGATATTTAAGTGAAAGAAGATATTGAAGTAAATAATTAAATCAATATATAAATAGAGAGGATCAATTTTAAATTAATCTTTCTAAGCTCCCAGTCATATAGAAGTATAATTGGATGAAAGTTTTGAATAATAATTATAGACTATTAAAAAATAAAAGATGAAATAAGAAAAATTGGAACATTTAACAACTGAATAAAGGGAGATGATGGAATATTGATTAATATTTTTAATTTATTTCAAAATATAACAAAAATACTTAATTTGTTATTTTTAGTATAATTATACATTCGCTACTTATTCTATAATTTAATTGTAAATATACTTATATTAATTAAGTGATTCATTATAAGTTTTATTCATAATTTTCTCATTTATAAAGTAATATTATTTTAACATAAATTTAATTAAAATGAAAATCAAGTTAAAATATTATAATGATTGGGGAGAAGAATAAATTTGTATAATAAAGGTGCCTTCAAAAGGAACAGTTGATGATTTGTAATCTGAAATATAAAAAACAACATAAATTGAGGTATGTAATCAAAAATTGTATTTATTTACAAATTCTCAAATGATTGAAATAGAAAAGCATTAATATTTAAGTTCAATTTAATTCAATTAAGAATCTATAGTATTTGTTAAAAATATTGACGATTAATTTAGCATTAATTCTTCTTTTAATTCTTAAAAATAATAATAATTAAAGTCCTATAATTCAAATAGTTTTGCTGCAGATCTATAGAATACTGTACATGATTCCTTTCGAAACTCCTTTAAAAATAATTAATTTAAATCAAATACTTAGATAAATTAATAGTATGATATTGAAAAATTTTATGAATTTATTCAGACCAATAATTTTTAGAAAGCAAAATATTTATTAGATAATTATGAAAAGAATAAAAATTTACTTTTAAATAACTTATCAGTATTTGGATGGTCATCTCTACATGTATCTATAGTTACTGGATATGAAAAAATTGTTTTATGGTTATTAAGTGAAGGTGCTGATGTTAATTTAGAGACAAATGATGGATGGAATTGTCTCTCATTGGCTGTTTGTTTAAAATTAAAATAAAGTATTACATATATTATTATCTTTAGTTGTATTATTTTTAATTGGATAACCAGATATAAATATCAATAAATCAAGTAAACATGGAACTGCATTACATTTAGCTGCCCAAATAGATGATGCTGAAATAACAATGTCTCTATTACAACATCCAAATATTGATGTAAAGTATTTATCATTAATAAATTCAGTATTCAAGATAAGACTAATAAAAGACCTATTGAAGTTGCAGGTACTCAAGTTAGATAACTATTAAAATATGAACATGAATTAAAATTAAATACTATTTATAGAAATTCATTTGTGAAATCAATGAATGGAATTAATTTAGAGGATTTATAGAAAGATGTATGATGATTTTGTATAAAAGAGACTTTTCTTATTAATAAACCAAGTAGACCTCCAATTCTTACAGGAAAAGTATTGAAAGTTAATTATTTCAAATTGATTATGTATCAAAGATTTATGATAGCTGATCCTGATTCTGGTACATTAGTAAGATTTAAAACAGAAAAAGACATTCCAAATAATCCAAAGTATTATAATTATATATTTTTTAAGTGAAGTAATTGCATTAGATTAAATAAATGAGATAAAAGTATCTAAAGATGAATGGTTTTAAGAAGATGAATTTTATTACTTAGAAATTAAATATTCAACTAATCATATGTTTCTAGCATTTAAAGAAAAGAATGCTGCTAGAAGATGGTATGAAGGTTTGAAGAATTGTGTAGGATATGCACGCTACATCAATTAAAATTTCTTATAAAGAAGTTCTATTGATGAAATTAAAAGTGCTTAAAGAGCTTATAATTTAATGTTATAAAAACCTAATTAAATTATGAATATTATAGATTCACCAGCAATTGAATAAAAACAATATATTTAATAACAATAAAAAGCAAAAAAAGAAAAATTTAAATAATCATTAGCCAGTGTAAGTGAAGCAGAATATGAAATTGATATTGTTGATGAAAAGGGAAGTTATAAAAAATAAAATTATATTGGTTTATCAAGTTTTGATAATTTTGAATTAATTGGTAAAGGCAGTTTTGGAAAAGTTTACAAGACTAAATATAAAAATATTTATTGTGCATTAAAATAATAAGAAAAGAGTATGTTAATCAAACATGATTATCTAAATTATACTCTTTTAGAACTTTAAATTCTTAAAACTATTAAAAATCCTTTCATTGTTCGCTTATATTTTGCATTCTAAGTTTATATACAAATTATTTTAGACACAAAAATACTTATATTTAGCTACTGAACTTTGTCCTGCAGGTGATTTATCTAGATATATGACTAGAGGAAAAGTTTTGGATGAATATACTGCAAAATTCATTATTGCTTAAATCATATTAGCTATTGAATATCTACATTCCAAATCTATACTTTATAGAGATCTTAAACCAGAAAATATTCTAGTAGATTCAGATGGATATATCAAACTTACTGACTTTGGTTTATGCAAATAAGGTCATGTAGGTTAAGAAATAATTGCCAACAGCTTCTGTGGATCTCCAGCTTATCTTCCCCCTGAATTGATTGAAGGTATTGGATCATCTAAAGCAACTGATATTTACTAAATAGGAACTATATTATTTGAAATGCTTACTGGCTATCCTCCATATTTTAGTACAAATATTAAAACTTTAATTGAAAATATCAAATATTGTAAATTAAATAATTTTCAAATTCTAGAATAATTATAAATTCCCAAAGGAATTAGTGCTACAGCAGCAGACCTTTTAAGAATATTACTTATTAAATCTCCTAAAGAAAGATTAGCCTAAGTTGATTTTCATAAAATTAAGAAACATTTATTCTTTGCTGAAATAGATTGGATGAGACTTTAGGCTAAGTAATATAAGCCACCAGCATTAACTCTTCGAAATAATTTTAATAACAGTAGAAATGGTTTTAAATTTTTAGAAAATAAAAATGTAATTTAAATTGTAATATATTTAGGACCTTTGTGACATAGATTATAATGAAGGATATGAAAAGCCTAATTTTATAGAAAATTGGAATATTTCATTCATTTGATATTATAAATTATGTCTTATTTAATATCAATCATTTTTTATATTTAATTAAGAAATTAAGTTGCATTTTTTATAGATTAATTTAATTTGTATAAATAAATAAAATCTATCATACAATTTCATTCTGAATAAGAGTTTCTTATTTTTTATTCATTATAAAATGATGGATATCATATTAATTTAGGGATACTATCATTTTATTTTATACAACAAATAGAGTTATAATTATATCTATCAAACTTTATGATTAAATAAAATGACTTGACATAATTATGGATTTTCATTAATATATATTTTTTTAAGAGATTCATTTTCATATTGAAACAGTTTAATGTGATAATAGATTCATAGATTTAATTATATAATAATTATTATGTATCATTGGTTGTTTATAAAATAATATATAATATATATTAAAATCTCATTCAGTTGAACATAAGAGTGCTACTCCTCTTAACTTCCATTTATGAGCACCTGTACCTTCACAAGGCAATCCAACTCTACAAATGAGATATTTATCAGTTCTTCTTGGATACTAAATGAATTAAATAAAATAATACCTTATAAACAGGGCAACTGTAAGTTGAGGAATTCTTTTCAGCATCAGCACCCTTCTTCTTATTTATAGCAGTGACATAAAGGATAGGCAAAGGAGCAAACATCTTCTTTGGTTCTGATTCATCAAGTCCATTTCTACTCCATTTACATCCTTCAAGAGATAATCCACTCACATAAACACCTTCTGATTGAATATCTCTAATTTATTCATATTCTCTTTCTTTAACTTAAGTTGATTATACAACATCATCTAAAGACCAGGCATCTTTGTCTCCTGGTTTACCTTTATGCATACGAGTGACTTCTTATTTGACAGCAGTCAAGAAACCTTGAGGATTGAAGAAACCACCAAGCCAAAAGTGATTAGGTCTGTTGCTCTTTAACCAATCATTTAATTATTTATTACGATCTATTAATGAACTGAACCATGCTCCAAGAGTGGGCAAGATCCATGAGATTTCTACTCCTGTTGCATCATAAACCCAAGTTAAAGGAACTTTAGCATCATACATAGAATTAATGGCATCTAAAATATCTGGAGTCATAATAATCTGACCATCTATTGCATCAATAACATCTGATAATGTTTTTCTACAAATAGCAATAACAATTTGCATTCTTTATATTTCTTGATATAAGAAAATATTAAGTGGTACAGTCAATCCCTTATCTGGTAAATTCTTTGGACCTGCTAATTTACGAACTTATTCTCTAACTTCTAAATCAACATAATCTGATGGTAATTTGGATAATAACTCTCTAGCTTTATCCTAGACTATTTCTTCTCTTGTTTTTCCACCACCACCGCCAGAATCCTTTGGTCTAGTATCCATAATTGTAATAATCATTTCAGTGGATTCTTTCTTTCTAAATGTAATATCAGCATTAACATGTAATCCAAATACTTCAGGATTATCAATATCTGGTAATTACTTAATGACATCATGATATTTAATTAATTCTGGCATTTAAGTTGTGGCAGGTATTTTATATTAGAATTTAGTTGGTTTAGTACCACCTCCTGCATCAAATGGTGCTTCAGCTATAACATATTCATTTCCAAAGATTGCTTCTTTTAAGTAATCTTCACCATAAGCATTAAATAATTCTCTATCCAAATCATCAGTAATACGACCACCATATTATACTTCACAAATCATGTATCTAATAACATTCATATTTAAATTCAAATTAGGTGATTATGAAGGAGGTCCACTAAGGAATGAATTTAAATATTTTTCAATAAATGCAAGAGATGCTTCAAGATCTGGATTATTAAATTCATATGGAACACACCATCCAAGAGGACCAAATTTACGTCTTTCAATAACAATTGAATGTAAGAAACAAATTGTATAGATAAGACTTCTCCAATTTGGATGTTCAACTTTTTCTAAGAATTCTTAAGTAATAATTGTAGTAAAGGTCTTATATAAACCAGCTTTCAATCCTTTTGGTGGTTCATTTGTAACTTTAATAGTCTTTTATAATAGACCCAATGGGAATCTAGGATGTTATTCACAAGTAATCCATAATCTGAAATCATCATTTATAGTTGCCTCTGGATTAACAATTGTTTCAATTTCTTCCATGAATTTAAGACCCAAATGACAATTTTATAGAATAACCCACATACCAGTTTCAAAACCATTTTTAATGACTCTTCTTGCAGCTTCTTCTTGACCTTCTCCCATAGATACTTTTTCACAAAATACTTTTCTCTTCTTTCTTGAGAGATCATCAATAGATGAAGTAGGATCAGCACCAGCAGATAATAAGAATAATACTGGATCAGTTTTTGAACTTTCTGCCCAAATAGAATCAATAGGATATGAAATAGGTGCAGTAAATTCTTTACCTAGAGTTGCATTAATAAAGTGAGTAGCAGCAACTAATGTTCTATCTTCTTTAAGTGAACGTACTAAACATAAAGAGATAAATGGACCAATTTCTTTATCAGCAGCAATACGTTCAGCAAAATCTGGTATTGGTGAATTTTCAGGATCATTTCTATCATTCCATTATCTCCATTATTATTCATTTCTAGAAATAGATTCTGGTAAATCTCTAAAGAAGGCCATTTAATCTCCATTGAAATGATGTCGAGATAATGCTAATATATTTAACCATTATTTCTCATCTAAGAATTAGAATGGTTTTTATTTTTCAGTTTTTGGATCCAATGCAGCACCACTCTTTAAAAATTATGATACATCTCCAGCATTTATTTTTTTATCTGTTTATTTAACTTTGAAACACATCATTAAAATAAATGAAATCTTATCCTTTTCAAATAGACCTCTATTAACATATTTATAAACATGGAATGTAAGATATTTTATGATATTATCTACTCTTTTAGATGGTAATGTATTTCTTTCAGATTGATCAATAGAATCATTAAATAATTTTAAGAATTATTCCAAAGATGAATTATACATCCAATTTATTAATGAAACTTCCAAAATTGTGAAATATAAAGCTGAACCTCTAATTGCAACAGGTCTATATTATTCTCTCTTTTCATTAATTTCTCTTGTCTTTACTTCAGCATCCAATAATTTCACTGAAACTTCTTTGGCTTAAGTCTTAGTACTTCCTAACACTTCAATAAGACCCTCATCTTCTAATAAATTACCAGAAGATTAAGTCAATCTTTCTAATAAATTCTTATCTAATCTTTATAAATCCTTCTTATTTTAATTGACATCTGCTAATAATTAATTTAGAGAATCTTCCAAAGCTTTTTATTCTTTACTGATAACTTTACCCAATAATTATTATTCTAAACCACCTTAAGTAACTGTAAAGTCAATAATAGTTGTTTTAGCTGATAATTCAGGAGAGAATGTAGGATTAGCTAATCTACAAAACATAAATAATTTAAATCCATCATCAAAGTCCATTTAAGTACCTCCTACTTCAATATATTTATTTTTCTTAGCCTTTACTTAGATTTATTTTTCAAGAACTGGATCCAACATTGGATCTACTTCATTTTCAATATTCTCAATAATCAAACATAATCCATCTTACATACAAGGTTTTAAGAAATTATCTTTGAATTTAGGATGATTCAATGTAGTAATACATCTAAATGGTTCAATTTTATCAGCAAACTTTTATCTAATCCAAAAGTTACCTTATCCTTATGGATCAATTAATAAAGGATATCTTGTTGAATTAGTAACCATAATACCATTTTGAATTGATAATTCATCTTTAGGTAATCCTTATAAATTCCATTCTCCTACTGTAGCATCATCTACTAAAAACTATGTCAAATTCAATCCTGGTGTAACAGGAACACCTCTTCTCTTTTAATCATTTACAAAATAATCACCTGCCAATAATTATCTATATTCTGCATTGAATGGACCACAATAAGAAATAAATGATGTAGCCAATGAACAATTACCAATTAATTTACGCTTTTGATCAGCTATTTCTGTAGCTCCTTATCCCCATCTAGCCTTTTCATCTGAAAGTGATTCAATCAATTATCTAGCTGTAGTAATTCTCTTTTTAGTTTTATTTGATTTTTGTTCCAAGAATGATTTCTCTTCCATTTATTTATTGAATGTCTCTTTAAGTTTAGCTAAATATTCCTTAATTTCATTTAAATCTCTTTCAGCTTTTGCCAATTCCTTTCTTGCAACTTCAAGACGACCTTCTTATATTTACAAATAAACTTTCTTGGGTTTAACAATCTTTGATTTCTCATGATATTCATAAATAGCCTTAACCCATTTCAATAGACCTTAAGCAGCCTTTGAAGCACTCTAAGCTTTTTCTTCACTGAACCATTCTTATGACATATATGGTTACAATAATTCTATAGTTTCTTCATTAATACCATCTTTTTCAAATCCCTTTAATTTATTTAAAAAGTTCATATCAAAAAGAACTGATTTACCACCTTCATCAAATGAATCCTTCAAAAATGAATAATCAATTTTACTAATCTTAACAGTAACTGATTGAACTGGTAATAATTTACCCATGAAATAAATTACAATAGAATCTATAATTGCTTTCATAATATCCATTAAAGTTTTCATAGCCTTCATTTCATCAATATCTTTCTTATCCAATGAATCAACAGCTTCTTATGCTCTAATAAGAGCAGGCATAGCAGCAGCCAAATCTTTCTCTGCAGCTTATTTCTCACTTGCAATCATTTATGCTTATTTCATACATTAAGCAGTAGTTGCTTCAACTTCATCATTCTTTTAATTAGCTTTTTTACTTTCCTTCTCCAAATCTTCTAATAATTTTTCAGTCTTTTCTGATGCTTCCTTTAATTAAGCTTCTTCTTCTCTTAATGCCACACCCATCTTCTCTATTTATTTAGCTGCCTCATTAATCTTACTCAAACCAATTTTATATGAATTTTCTTGTAAATCTAATTCAGCATATTTTTTCAAATACAATTCTTTATAT